ATATGTCACCCATTCATTATTCACGCACAACACTGATGCAAGCTGTACATCATTCTTCTGTAATACTAAAGTAACAAAGTTTAGCCATACATCATTCTTCTACAAGAATGAAGTAACAGATGTCAACTATACATCATTCATGTGTAATATTGAAGTAATACGTCAGCCCTACATCATTCATGTGCAACATTGAAGTAACACATCACCCATACATTATTTATGTGCAATACTGAATACATGCCAATCATACATCATTCTTGTGCCCTAACAAGTAAAAAAAATGCCAACTGGGTGGATTACAACATGCTTAAGTCGGTCTCTCTGAAAACTATATGGAAACAAACAGGCCTAAAGTTCATGCATGAATGCATATGCTTCTATCCCACATTACTTTTAATTAGTCCATTACTAATTTCAAATCAGTAATATACAAAGATAATTTCATGTGAAATGCCTGTATAAAACAGTCCAGCCCAAATTAGTTAAAGCATATGAAAGGCCTCATAGACAGTTAGACAAAAGATAGATCTAAAATGCTAGTTTTACACACATCTGACTTGAAAACCTGAAATTGAATGTGGAAACATTATCAACATCAAGCATGATGTTTATCATGAATATTAAAAATCTTTTGGTTTTCATTAGTCTTCAAACTTTCAGCATAAACAATACAAACTGTGTTACAACCTTAGTTTGGTATAGACCTGCCTATAAACAATACAAACTGTGTTACAACCTTAGTTTGGTATAGACCTGCCTATAAACAATACAAACTGTGTTACAACCTTAGTTTCAACCTTAGTTTGATATAAACCTGCCTATAAGCAATACAAACTGTGTTACAACCTTAGTTTGATATAAACCTGCCTATAAGCAATACAAGCTGTGTTATAACCTTAGTTTGATATAAACCTGCCTATAAGCAATACTAGGCAGGTTTATATCAAACTAAGGTTATAACATAACACAGTTGTATTGCTTACAACCTTAGTTTGATATAAACCTGCCTATAAGCAATACAAACTGTGTTACAACCTTAGTTTGATATAAACCTGCCTATAAGCAATACAAGCTGTGTTATAACCTTAGTTTGATATAAACCTGCCTATAAGCAATAC